TGTCCTCTCCCATCCCCTCTGCCCCTCCCAGCCAAGCTGTGATCTCAGGGCCAGCAGGCCTATGGGATACGCTGCCCCAGACTCAGGCTGAATCTCAAGGAGTCCCCTGCCCCCAGCTACCTGTTCTCACGTCACCCCTACTCCTTCCTTCCTGAATCCATCCTGGAACTCTAGGGTGGCCCTTCTATCTCTGATGCCCCTCTGCCCTTGACCCCTCACCCTACCAGGCTTTTGCAGCAGGAGAATGAGGAGCTTCGCCGGCGCCTGGCCTCGGCCACCAGGCGCACTGAGGCCCTGGAGCGCGAGCTGGAGATTGGGCAGGACTGCCTGGAGCTGGAACTGGGCCAGAGCCGTGAGGAGCTGGACAAATTTAAGGACAAGTTCCGCAGGTGTGGGAACGAGGGGCCGGGAAACACATGCACGCATCTCCCTGTTCATAGGAGGGAGCCCGGAGAGGCTTCAGAGATCATCTGATTCTGATGCGAAAACTGAAGTTCTGGGAGGGGCACTTGCCCAAGATCCCTTATGAAGGAGGGGCTGAGCAGGGTCTGAAGAACAGGATCTTGATCCAGGGGTCTGCCTTGTGTCCCTCTATAGGCTGCAGCACAGCTACACAGCTTCCCAGAGGACCAACCAGGAGCTAGAGGACAAGCTGCATACGCTGGTAATCTGTCCAGGAGGGCAGCCTGGCTGGCGCTGTGCTCACAGGATAGCAGGGGCTGGGACTTGCCAGGGGACTGCCATCCTGCCCTGGGCTCGGGGAGGGGGTGGGCCGTGGTGGGGAGGGGCCCGCAGTGTGCTGTGAGTCAGGACTGTCTTAGTGCTCACACTGTTTCTCTTCTCTCCTCGTCTTCCCTCATGCTGCCACCGTTGCTGCTGCACTCTCCTCTCAGGCCTCTCTTAGCCACAGCTGGATTTTTGCAGTTGCGTCTGAGTTTGTGTGTTTTTTCCCTTGTCCTCGCCTCCTCCTCAGCTGAGATCTGGGATTGCTGGGGCCCGGCCATTGCCCTCTGCCCACTCCTTTCCTCTTCCTCATGTGAGGCCTGTTCAGCAGTCAGTGCCTCCCTCCTGGGGGACAGCTGGGGAGCCTGTTCTTGGCTTGGGCAGAGTTACTGATTGATGTCACCACTGAATGCTCACAGCTTCTTGGCTGCAGTGGGCAGCAAGCCCTGGCCATTTGGGGGAAGGGGGCCTGTGGACCCAGTCCATGAGCTGAAGATCAGAAGACTGCTTCTGAGCCTGCAGCTCCCTCCCTGCTCAACTAGATAATCTAACAGGCACCCCCAGCCACGCAGCCCCACTCCCCACCTCCTCCTGCTTCCCAACCTGATCCTGGAAACAGCCACAGGCAGCATCGGCTTCAGCCCCTGGGTTTGCACACTTCTTGCCTCTCAGGTACCAGCTGCCTCGCCTGGTGTGTAGAGCCCCTTGAGTGCCCTCCAGGGCCGGGCAGCTTTTAGACTGCTCTGTCCCAGCCTGGGCAGCTGTCAGTCATGCTCAGAGAGCCCCCTCCCCACAGCCAGCCTGGACTACAGGAGAGGTGTCTGGTCTCCTTCTGTCTGTCCATTGTCTGTGTGCCTTGGCTGCCCTAGCACCTGTGGCTTCCTGTGTCTCTGGGCCGGGAAGAGGGGGAGGGGAGGGGAGAAAGGGCTGGCTGGGGTGTGGGCTGGGTTCACTGTGAGTCTTGTGCCTCAGATCAAGAAGGCTGAGATGGACAGGAAGACACTGGACTGGGAGATCGTGGAGCTGACCAACAAGCTGCTGGACGCCAGGAACACCATCAACAAGCTGGAGGAGCTCAATGTACGGTCACCTCGGGGGCCTCCCTGCCCGTGCTGCCATGTCCTGGCCCTGCCCTGCTCCCCTGGGCTGTGCCGGGCTCTGAACTGCGTCTGTGTCCGCAGGAGCGGTACCGGCTGGACTGCAACCTGGCTGTGCAGCTCCTGAAGTGCAACAAGTCTCACTTCCGTAACCACAAGTTCGCTGATGTGAGTGGGGCACTCTCCCTGCCAATGCCCGTCTGCCCTTTTTAGGACCCCTCCAACTCCAGTTTCTACACCTCTCTCTGTCCTGTCCTCATATCTTCAGCTCCCTGCTTTCTGCTTTGCCTTCTCCTCGCCTCCCTGTGTCCTCTGAAGCCAGTCAGCTCGGCCGCTGGTTGGTGTCCTGCACGCTGTCAAGGGCCCATCACTAGGGGCAGAGTGGGGACTGGCCCTGTTGGTATTTCTGGAACAGAGACAGGGAGAGAGGATCTCAATTTCTGGATCCCATGCAGGAAGGAGGGGGTTGCCAGAGGTATGGGCCATAAGAATAATTGAGAGGGCCCCTTGCTCCAAGGGGCAAACTCTAGACCCCAGCGCTCAGGATCAAGGTTAATGGGGCCTACAGAAGGAGTGGAGGTATTTCTAAGGCTTCTGGTCAATACTGATTCTCAAGCTTGTGTCTGGTTTGGGCAGAATCTACCGCTGAGATGGGGAAGTTAGACGTTTGACAGCACGTGGGCCTTAGCACCAGTTCTGGGTTCAGATCCTGGCTGTGTTAATCAAAAGCTTCAACTTATTTTACCACTACCGAGCCTCAATTTATCTGCAAAATGAGGATATACCTTTGTGTGCTGCGGAACAGGTGATAGCAAAGTACCCAGCACACGGGGGGGCCTTATATGTGGCAGCCGTCATATTTGCCCTGAAGCAAGCTGTCTTAGGCTGGGCTCATTCATGTCTCTCTTCCCTTCTCTCGCTCCTTTACCCCAGCTGCCCTGTGAGCTACAGGACATGGTTAGGAAACATCTGCACACTGGTCACGAGGCTGCCAGCCCGGGGCCTGCCCCCAGCCTGGCCCCAGGGGCTGTGGTGCCCACCTCGGTCATTGCCCGCGTGTTGGAGAAGCCGGAGTCTCTTCTGCTCAATTCGGCCCAGTCAGGCAGCGCCGGGCACCCCCTGGCTGAGGATGTCTTTGTGCACGTGGATATGAGTGGGAGTGACCCAGGTGACCCAGCCAGCTGCCCAGCTCCGGGAAGCCCCGTCCCCCAACCCAACGGGGAGTGCTGCTCTCTGGGCACTGTGTGGGGCTCCCCAGAGGAGGAGATGTCCCTGCCGGCCTTTGAGAAGCTGAGCCCCTACCCCACCCCGTCTCCACCCCACCCGCTGTATCCTGGCCGCAAGGTGATAGAATTCTCTGAGGATAAGGTGCGGATTCCCCGCAACAGCCCCCTGCCCAACTGCACTTATGCCACCCGCCAGGCCATCTCCCTGAGCCTGGTGGAGGAGGGCAGTGAGCGAGCCCGCCCCAGCCCAGTGCCCAGCAGCCCTGCCTCGGCCCAGGCCTCCCCGCAGCACCAGCCCAGCCCCGCCCCCCCGGGGCTCAGTGCCCCAGCCAGCTGCGCCAGCTCCGAGGAGGACCTGCTGGCCAGCTGGCAGCGGGCATTTGTGGACCGCACTCCGCCCCCGGCCGCTGTGGCCCAGCGCACAGCCTTTGGACGTGACGCGCTCCCTGAACTGCAGCGCCACTTTGCTTTTGGTCCCGCTGGTGGAGATGAGGAGGTGCAGGCATCTTCTTCCCCACCCGGTGAAAGTGGGCTTTTGCTGCCAACAGAAGCTGACCCTGGCTTTCCCAGGGAGGAGGAAGAGGAACAGCTGAACCTGCCCATCAGCCCTGAGGAGGAGCGCCAGAGCCTGCTGCCCAGTGATGGTGGCACAGAGGAGGGGCCTGGCACTCCTCGCACTGAGGGCAGGGCCTGGGCACTCCCCAGCTCCAGCCGCCCCCAGCGCAGCCCCAAGAGGATGGGGGTGCACCACCTGCACCGCAAGGACAGCTTGACCCAGGCCCAGGAGCAGGGCAACCTGCTCAACTAGGGCCCTGCTTGCCTTCCTGCCACTGCTGCACGGGGACTGCAAGGTGCCCCAACCCTCGCAGCTCAGGGTCCCCACCTAGCCCAGGCCCTTGGCCTCTGCGCCCTGTGCAGATAGGGTCAGGCTACACCAGGCCTTTCGCTACACTGACTGTAACTGGTACCAGCTTGCCTCATGGTTTTTCCCTCCTGGAATATTTATTCTCCAAAGGTAACATGCAGCTGGGGCTCATGACCTTTCTTCCAGTCGGCCCAAACTGGTCTGTTCTGGGGAGCTGAGGGGGTTATTACATCAGTGTTTATCCTCCATCCTCCTTTCATATCCACCAGTTTTCTATTTTTATCTGGCAGGGGGGTGGAGGGAGGAGGGTCATTGGGATTATTAACCTCTAATTTCAGTTTTCACCTGTTTCCCTCTCCCCCCGAAATCCTCTGCACGAGCTGTTGCCTTCAAGGGCCTGGCACAGCAGGCCCTCGGGGGGATGAGGGAGAGGACTGACTCAGGGCTCCCCTCAGCTGTTTCCTTCCTCCCTCTGGAAGGGAGTAGAGGGTGGGATTCAGGGCCCTCAAGCGGGGTTCTAGGTGAATGCTGGTCCCACTCCCAACCTTGGCTCTAGACTGTTAACTCCCAGCTTTGGGAAATTTTCACATCAATAACTATTTTAAAATTAAATAAAACTATTTTACTGGTATGGCCTAATTTGTCTATTAATGACCTTCCTTCTGCCCTTATTCTCCCCATTCTTGAGTATTCCCAGTCCGAATCACGTCCTAGTCTTTGCTGCTGACTGACCCCTACCACTGTTCTGCCTGGGGCTTCCCTGGGCACAGAGCATCAGGTGGTGGGAGAGGGTGTACCTCAAGTAACCCTGGCAGGGCCCCTGAGTCTCTCCTTGAGGTAGGGTCCAGCCCAGCTCGGGGGGGCTCTTTACCTCAGTTACGATCCTTACAGGGCCTGTGTAAGGTGTCACCCCAGAACCCCAGGTCCTGTAAGTCAGAGACCTGAGCCAGACCTGTTTGAGACACTTGGGGCCAGTGGACGCTGCCTGGAGCTTAGGCCGTGGGGTGGCACTGCCCCCTAGTGATGTCTAGTGGTAATTCCAGTTCCTCCCTCGCTGCCAGCCCCCAGTGACCAGAGCCACACGTCAGGTTGTCGTGTTCATAAAATCTCTTCCGAGCCAGCGGGCTGCAGCCAGAGCTGCCAACAAGTCCAGAGGCATTGCCTTGGGTTCCAGTGCCCCCAACGATTTTGTTTAGTCACAGCTTCCAGAGCCTCCCACCATGCTGCCAGGAGCTGCCAGAGCCCCAGGCACACCAACCCCCCACCCTCCTAAGCCCCAGGGCCTGACCCTGACATCTGGGGCAAAGTGCTGGAGATGCAAATGTAATGATGCGCAGAAGCCTGAATGGAGAGTCACATCTCCGTCTCAGCCAACAGACTGTCCCCTAGTCCTGACGTCATTAGCACCATCTGAGAGCTGGGATCTGTGGAAGGGCAGAGAGGTGTTCAGACCACCATGCATTCCTCCGCTGGGGACCACAAATAGAAGTGGCCTAAGTTTCTCACACCCACTCTCCCTGGTCCCAAGCCTCTTTCAGACCTGACTCTGATCAACCCTTGCGGCTCTTACCACTGGGGCACATCCAGGAGCTACTGCCCCTCTGGTGGGCAGCAGGCTCCCGCCCTCTCTCTCGTTCCTGGGTGTCGCCAGCCCCTCCTGCCACCTCCTCCTCCTCTTCCCCCTCAGAGAGGAGGTCACAGATCTGCTGCTGCAGCTCCGGGCTAATGCTGTTCTCAGCCAACACCAGACTCCGCAAAGCTGTGGGGTAATTTTCCACCATGTCCAGCAGGGTCTGTGGTGGGGAAGAGTACGGAAAATGATGAACACAGTTAAGGCAGCTCCGGACTCCAACCTGCCACCCCTTCAGTATGTCCACAGACACATTGGCTAACCTCAACCCCTGGCCCATCCCCAAACGTGAAGACTTCTCACCTGAGCTGACTGGTTGGTGAGCCCTGTACCCTCCAAGTCTAGGACCTCTAAGGTGCGGCTGGAGGCCACAGCTACAGCCAGCATCGCTGCCACATGGTCGCCTGGGGAGATAGTACACGTGCACACACTCACCAGCATTCACAGGCCTGCTAACCCTTTCTCCCCACAGCCTCCCCACTGCCCTGACAACCTTAGAATCCACCCCCAGGCCAGGAAATGCTGGCAACTGGTAGGTGGCCAGGAGGGGAGCATTGTGACTGATGAGTGAATGGATGAAGCAAGCCAGGCCCAGGAGCGGTGATGGATGCTCTGATCTACCTGTTGGTCATCTGGTCCTCAACACAGGTGGCTCCTCTACTTCCACCCAGAACCTCCCTTCTTTCCTCCGCCAGTGTGCTGGTTACCATGGCAACTGATGGTCCCAGGTTCTTGGACAGGGGTGAGGGGTGGTGAGAATCAAAGGGGGCTTTCTTGAGCCTCACCCAGGGGGTTGTAGTCCAGATTGAGGACGCGGACCTGGGAGCTGTGGGCCACGGCAATGGCGAGGCGGCTCCAGCCCTTAGGGGTGATGCCAGGGTTGGCGCTCAGCGTCAGCTCCTTCAAGCCTGGGCAGCATCATAGCGAGAAGCCAGGATGGAGAGGGTCAGGCCTTTCTCAAGCCCATTCCCCACCTGGGGATCTCTGGGGTATCCCTAGTGACTGAGAGCTACCCCACCTCCTCCACAGAGCTCCAGAGACATTAGCGACCCATGCCTTTCCTGCCCGCTGCAGCCTGGATTCCTGAGTCTCCATCCTGCTCAGCTCCCAATCCTTCTCCCTCCTAAGAGGATTCGAAAAACATTCTCACCCACACAGTCAGAGCCCTCATCTCTAGGCCATGCCCCCTGCCCTCTGCACTGAGCTTTTCATGAAGGCCACACTAGCCCATGCCCTCAGCAAGGCCCTGCTCACCAGACTTGGCCCCATCAGGGGGGAGAAGGCCACAGATGAGGTTGATGGCTTCATCACCCAGCATGCAGTCCCCCAGGTCCAGAGCCACGAGGGCAGGGTGGAGGGCCAGAGCTGGATTCAGCAAGGCCAGCCCCGCATCTGTCAGAGGGCTCCCATGCAGGCTGGGGGTTGAGACCAGAGAGCAGAGGTTACTGCAGTCATCAGTCCTTACTGTAAGGGGGAAGGGGGGCCCCCTCCCTTACGGTGAGCTGTAGAGCTGAGGGGGACATTCAGTCACAGCACTTGGGAGAGGCCTTGGGAAGGAAAAAAGAAAATTCTAGATTCTTAATAATGCAATTAGAAGGGGAAAATTCGGTTTCTTTTCTGGGGCAGGGACTGGGATCCAGATCAGAACACAGAGAAAGGGTGTGTGTGTGGTGTTCTGGACAGAACATAGGGGCAGGGATCTAGTCCTCAGGGGAGTATTCCTTCTTGGGTAATGAGCAATCTACCCCGGAGAAGTCAATGCGGGTGATTAGGTTAGGAGGTACACGGGTCCTGCCAGGAAGGGGTGGGTATCCTATATCATCTGGGGTGGGTCTGGTGTTCAAAGTCTGGAGGTGAGGCAGGAGCTTGGAGGGTGTTGTGGAGGCATGGGCAGAGGAATGAGGTGCGTGAATAAGGAGTGAGAAGGTAGGCTGGTGCAAGGACAGGTACCAGGTGTGCGGAGGTACAGGAGATGGCAGGGGGAGTGCGAGGAGGGGTGCGGTGCCCGGGACCCCTTTTAGAGGGAGCGCACTCACAAGAGGGACTGGATGGAGCGGTTGGTCCGCAGCGCCTCCGCCAGCTGCTTGATGCGGCTGGGGCTGGACACGACGCCCAGGTTAAGGTTGAGCTGCGCCAGGGACGTGGCCCCGGCCAGGGCCCGGCAGATGCGGCCGAAGTCGCGGTCGCAGAGACGGCAGCCGCGCAGTGAGAGCAGGCGCACGGCGTTGTCGCGCAGGCCGCGGCAGATGTCCCGCACTTCGGCGCCTGACAGCGGCTCCCCCGATATCTGGATGGAGCTGGGCAGCATCGTAGCCACAGCTGGGCCTCCGGGGCCAGGGCCCGGGCCGCGGCCGAGGTTGGCGGGGCCGCGGGCGGGGTCGGGGTCCGGGGTGGGGTCGCCGACGCAGCGGGGTAGAGAGGGAGGCAGAGGCACAGGCGGCGGCGGCGGCGGCGGAGAGGAGCGCCGGGCCCCGCGCGGGAGCCGGCCGGGATTGCGGAGGCGCCGAGGTCGCCGGCCGGGCTGAGACCGCGCGGCACTGGGGCCGGGGCGGACCGTGCCGTCCGTGTCTGGGCGGCGAGCCGGGGCGCGCGTTCCGGGGCCGGGCGGGCGCTGCTCCGCGCTGGTCTTCGTCCCTCGCGGTTACGGCGCCGGCTCAGGGGCCTCGGCTTAGGACGCGCGGGACCGGTCTCCGCTCGGAGGCCGCATCTGTTCCCTCCCTTCCTCCAGCCCCACTCCCCCTACCGCCCCGCAGGGAGAGTCCGAGGAGGGTAGGCGGGCGGGCCGGCAGGCGGGCAGCGGGTGGCGGGCGGCAGCTCGGGCTCAGGCTGCTGCGCAGGAGCGGGCGGCGGGTTCCCATGGCAACGGTATCGTCATCGCTGTTCGCCCCGCCTCCTGCCCGGCCTAGACCACGCGGGCACACGAGGTTTGCGCACACCCGATGTTCAGGAGCGGTGGGGGCGCTCTTCCCCTGGGTGTAGGGCCATACAACAGGTGGCCAGGTGGAAGCCTGGGACGGGCAGGGGGTAGGGAGGGGAGAATAGAGGCACATCACGTGGAGACGGCATTTGAGACAGTTACAAGGTTCTTTTGCTCATTTTCTTGTCTTTCCCCGTTCCTAAGGGCCAGACCCCTCGGTGCCTTCGCCTGGATCCCAGGGACGCCCCCCACCCCCGTCCAGTTTGTAAGGCCCAAGGGCCCTTTAATTCGCGCCTCGCCCCCGCGACAAGAGGTGCCGCGTGCGCGGGCATTCCAGCCGCGAGGAATTCCTCGCGTGCCCCTCGCCAAGATGGCTGCCTCGCAGTGGAGGCGGCCTCAGCTGCCAGGCCCAGTGGAACCCCAAAGGGTCCTTGAAGCAGGTGAGACGCAGGTAGATGCAACGCGCTGGTGCCGTTCCTTTCCCAGGTGATTAGGGCACTGCTGATGCTCTGACGTCCTCAGTATCCGTGGGACTGGAGTAGCCAAAATGAAGGGGGGTGGTACCAGGGGAGCAGGCTGCAGTGGCTGTGGGGCCGTGAAAAGTGGGCCAGAGCTTTCAGTAAGGGCACACTGCACAATACAGGCAGTGCCCTTAGAACGTTGTCCACTGGTGATAGTGTAGGGGCCTCACATCACATAGGATCATATAGCGTAAATGAAGGGCACATCTTTCTTAGCCCCTTTATTAGAAGGGAAAAACGCTAACCCAGATTTACTAGGGTAATGAATTTTTTAAAAATGAATAATATAAACATAGTGAAGGGAGGTCAAAGATTCTGTTCCCTCCATTAACCACATGACTTAAGTGGAACAGATTAAATGGGTAGTGGGAGAGGATGGTGCTGTGCTTGGGGTGGTTATTGCTTTTAAGAGTAAATAGCACTCTTGAAGAGAAAGGACTGAGGGAACTCCTGAAGAAAGCTTTGCTCCCCTGGCCCCAGTATAACCAGGGCAAAGCCAACTCTGGCTTCAAATGTGCACCTCCACAGAAAAATTATCCCTACACAATGGCCCAGGTGCATAAGGGCCTTGTAATGACATGGTGTTGAGTCTGGAAGTTTTTATCCAGTTGTCACTGCTCCATAGGCATCCCAAGAGTGAGGCTGAGTCCAGACCTAAGCCAGGTACACTGTTCCATCAGACTTATGGTTCTTGAGTTTGAGGCCTCCCTGATGCTGCATGGATCTTGTGCTCCCTGTCCTGGGGGCAGGTTCCATGTTCAGTCTTTCAATGCAGTCTGGGCTGTCCCACTTTCATTCTGCTTGGATAGGGGTATATAATGAAGTGAGCATGTGACATTACCAGCGACAGAACAGGAAAGTGTACAGGAAGTAGGGTGGCAGGGGGGACCACTGGAACGGGTAGCTGTAGTTCCAGACTTCAAACAATATTTTAATTACCAAGTCTATATTTAGCAAGACAATGTGGAAGAGATAAAGAGGAAGGAAGGGGTAGGTGGTGAGAGGACCTCGGAGGAGCTGACCCACTTTCTGCACTGGCTGCAGAGCCCTGCAGTCCTGGCCAGGACTTCCTGGCCTTGTGCCCTTCAGAAGCTCGACAGGCATCAAGGAGGTGCTTAAGTGGCTATAGCTCTGTGGCAGCTGCAGACCCCTCAAAGAGACACATGTCATCAGTACTGTCCTTCAGTCTTCCTCCACTTTGCAGCTGGGGGAAAGGGGGCCGGCCAAGGATCTCAGGTGGGGTCAGTGTGACTGCAGGGTCACCGCGACAGCCTTGGCTGTGGCGTTGAGCGCAGCGGTGGGAAGCCTAGCAGCAGGGAACACAGCAGGGATGTCTCTGGGGACTCTCTGCATGGGTGGGATGTTGGGGCCCTCCAGCGTGTCCAGGATCCCTGAAAGGAGGAGGATGGAAAGTGAGTGAGGGTTGGTAGGGCCCTGCCCTTAGGCAGCTGTCCTCCCTCTCCCCCGCACCCCTCCTGTCACTTACCCTCTACCACCTTGTGGTAGGCAAAATGCAGATAGAGCAGGAAAAGCATGTGCAGGGTAGCCAGGGTGCCACAGAGGAGCAGCCGCTGTGTGGGGCCCACAGTCCGTGACACCAACACTGCCACCTAGGGCAACAGGAATACAGTTCAGAGGGCCTGATCCAAGTGACTAGTGTAGAGAAGCCACTCTTAGCCAGAGCAGAACCGTCTTTGGGCTCTTCCCTCCCATTCAGAGCCCCTTGTGGGACAGGGCCTGAGCTCTGGGCTGTTTTCCCTACTCCTTCGGAGGACAGCCCACCCCTGGAAACCTCCTGCCAAGCTTACCATGCGCAGGGTGGACAGCCCACCCACCAGCAGCCAGAAGAGGTAGAAAAGGGCATGAAGGTGGATGTTATAGGTGATGAACAGGACAATGCAGTGCCCAAAGAGGCCGTAGCCCTAGGAAAGAGGATGGCGGAGAGGAAAATCACTCAGGCTGGGCTGGCCTCTGGACCCTCATGGGGACCCTGAGAAATAAATGGTCCATTGGCCAGCTCACCCCATTCCAGGCCCTGGGGCCCCTAGGACAGATGCAGACCAAAGCCTGGTTACTCTTTTAAGATCACCCTTGCCCACCACCATGCTGGACTCCTTACCAGCAGTGCCAGCATCTGGAGCATGGTGATCTGGGCATTGCACAGGTAGGCGAGGAAGTAAATGAAGGACGAGACGCCCAGCCAGTAGCCGAAGCAGGTGCCAATGGCTGTGCCCATCAGGGTGCCCTCCCGCTGTGGGGTGAAGGCTTTAATTAGTCCTGGGAGGCCTCTTGTCTCAGCTCACTCAGGGCCTTCCTCAGGGGCTGCTTCTATCTTACTCCGCCATCGTCTCCTTGGGCAGCTTTCAACTCCTATCAGCCACCCCCCAAAGTCCTCTGTCCTGCTTACGATAATGGTGTCGGACGTCTTCATCCCATGGAGAAGGATGGCCACCAGCGTGAAGACAAGCATGAGAGGTCCGTAAAGCTCACCTGCGATTTTCTGTCAATATACCAACTCATTCAGGCTGGAGGGTACAGTGGCTCTTCCGTTTATGCCTTCCCAGGCTTTGCGTGGTGGCCCCACCCTCTGCCCTAGTGCCTCCCCCGGCTCTTCCAAACATGCTACCCGCTATTCACCTGGGGGAAGTTGACCATCTTGATAGGGATCATGGACTCCAGGAGCCTGGGAGGGGAGAGGAGAGATGAGAGCAGAGGCAGCACTAGACTGTGAGGTTCTGGAAAGCCTGAATCTTAGTCATCTTGCTAACTGAAGAGAACATGCTGGCTGGTAAAGGGAGAAGAGGGTGGTAAAGACAGACGAGGAATGAGGAAATCACTTTTTTGCCCCTGAATGCTTCCAGGAAGTACAGCCTTCTGATGCTGTGCTGACTGATGCAGCAGCAACATGGAGAATTTAGAAAGCCCTGCTGGGCCCTGGGAGAGGGCTTGGACCCCATTACCTATGTGACCTGCTCCCCTTTAAACCTCAGCAGAGAATGCCCCAAATTCAAGGCTGTGATAGTAAAGCCCTGAGAAAGGTTTAGAGGGAAAGTTGTTACTTGAGGGAACCAGCGTGCCTCCTGCCTCTTCCTGCTTATCATTCCTCCAGGCACCACTGAGCAATTTCTTGAAAAATATGTTTGAAGTGGTATGAAAATTCCAGGCAGAAGGAATAAAAGTACCAATAACTTCCCCACTTCTTAAGTGACTAGGTAGCTCCTAATAATACCCTGGATCTTGACTAAATTTTACTTCCTCTGAGAAAGCTGCCCTGTCCAATCCTCCAGCCAACCCTGGGTCAGGTGTCCCTCCTGCGTGTCCCTTCATGGCAAATGAGTGCTCGAGGGCTGCACTCCAGGGTAAGGCTCCCATCTATCTTCACCACTGAATCAGACACAACTACTGTAGTGCCTGACGCAGAGCAAAAGCTCAGTAAATACTTGCTGAGTGGTATGAGTATTTGATAAGCATTGGTTGAATTAAAGGATGAGCAAAGAACGAAACCAAGATTAAATCCAGCTCTTGAAAAGTCATTCAACAGCTAGGTACCGATATTCTAGTTCAGAGACTGTTCTGGTGCTGGGAATAAAAATGTGAAACAGAGTCTGCTTTTGAAAAGGAGGTCTCTGGGGAGACAGACCCAGAAATAAGAAAGTACAGCACTGCTGAAGCGTTATCTGTTAGAGGAAAGCGCAGAGCTCTAATGGAGCACCAGGAAAGGACAAACTGGCAATGGGGAGCAAAGGAAGTGACATCTGAGCTAAGCTTTGAGGGAACATGAGTAGTTTGCTAGATGGGGAAGAGGAGGAAGGCAATGTGTTATCGCCATGCCCTGTTCTGTGACTGGTAAGACGTATAATGTGGCTGGGGTCATGAAGAGGGGAGTCTAAGGGTTTGGTGTCCGCTTGTAGTTTGGATGAAGGACTAGGTGTTGGGGGGGGCAGCTTCTGTCAGGAGGAGGATCCTCACCTGCTTCGCACCTGGGCAGGCTCCACATCAAAGTAGGGTCTCAGGATGTCGATGTTGGCATACAAGCTGAAGGCCCTGGAGGCTTGTCTCTTCCCTGCCTGCCACATCTGAAGCAAGGAAGACGGGTGGGGTGGGAGGGTACTGTGAGACTCTTGGCTCTATTGCTTATTTTTTGTTGGATATCTACATGGTTCTAACTGGACAACCCGGGATGAACTTCACCAACACCAACTCCAGAACCAGGGGCCTCCTAGGTATACTTTTCCACCTGTCAGGGAGCCAATCTTGCTTACCTGATCAGCCACCTGCCGGCTCAATTGTCCTTTAAAGCCCTTCATGCCCAGGAACTCCCCATCCTCTTCTTCAGCAGCAGCTGCATCAGCATCCACTTCTTCCTCACGCAGGCGCTGATGCAGCTCACCCATGTCCTCGAAGCTGGAGCCCGAGGTATCATCCATGTTCTCCATGTCAATCACAGCTGAGCCCCCACCCTGTGAAGATAACAGATCCTAAAGTGCAGTGCCTTTCTGCTCCATCCGTTAAGTCCTTCTCTGTTCACCACAGAGTTTGGGTCTCTGTTCTTACACTGCAGGGGATATGGCTTGGCATTACCATAGATCACGCCATTCTCTCCCCCTCATTTGCTCTCAGAACCCTTGGTTGTTTGTCTGTCTTTTCTAGACTGGAAAACCTATTCCCTATCTTCCATACACGTCTTTCTCCTACCTTCCCTACCAAAGCCCCCAAAGGGCTACGAAAGTGCCCATTTCCTTTGTCTTTCCCAACCCCAAAACAACGCTGTGCGCATACAGTGTGGTTTTGGCCAGTGAATCCCGCCCACCCCCAAGCCCACTCCTGCCCCGCGCCATGCCTGACCCCGACCGACCTTCTAACTTGTGCGGAAAGCAAGAGCAAGCGGGCCCAGAGACCTGAGGCCCCGGTCGGAGCCGTGGGGATATTACCTGGATGTTTTCTTCGAACCCTCCCCATTCCGGGCCAGCCCCATTTCGGGCGCCGCCGGCCGGCGCCGCCGGAGTTGCCATGTCCCTCGAGGGCTCCCGTCGCTGACGCCCGCTCTTGTCCCGCGCGCGGAAGAGGAGTGGGAGAGACGTGGGCCTAACGCAGGGACAGGTCCACGGACGAGAAAGAAAGGAGGATCTGTCGGAACGCAAAAAAGAGAAACCCGGATGTTTGGCCCAAACTGACGTCCGGTAGCTGGAGACGTGGACGGAGGCGGGGCAGAGTCTCGCGATAGCTAAGATTCCAAGAGGTGATGCGTTGCCACGGAGACGGAGGAGGGCCACTAGGACGCACGCACCAGTTAGGTGCCCTAGTCACGTGGAGGAGTTGAAGATGGCGGCGGCCCAGGCAGTGGAGGAAATGCGGAGGAGCGTGGTTTTAGGAGAGTTCGGGGTTCGCAATGTAAGCCTTGTGGCCTTGAGCTCGGGAGGAGAAATGGGAGCGGAACAGGGATGAGTTGGGGTCAGAGTGGGGACAGGCTTGGCCTCGCTGCCCCTTCGCGGACAGGCTCGTCTCTCTGCTCTAGGTTCATACCACCGACTTTCCCGGTAACTATTCGGGCTACGATGATGCCTGGGACCAGGACCGCTTCGAAAAGGTGGGTGGAGCTGGAGGTGCCCGGAGAGAGTACGGGGAACGGACCTTGTAGTCTGAGTAGCCTGTGCCTCAGAAGCTGTCCTTGTGTTGCTGTTCAGGCTAAATTAAAGGTCCAGGTTCTTGTTCTACCTGTCCAAAAGAATTTGGACAGGGAACGCAAGAAAGGTCACACACAGAGATTAAGGCGTAGAGAGAAACAAAGAAGCAATTTATTAAGGGGCAGAAGGGAAAGTACGTACTCAGAGAAGAATGAGGGCGTCCTCGCAAGTGAGGGGCGCACCCGAGGAGTTTTGTGACCACCACCCCTGGGGTGGGATCTTGATTGCACCTGGTTACATCAGCTTCTCTTGCGCATTGGTCTTTTAAAGCCACCGCACTTCTGTAAGCTGTTTTCCCTTACATTTTTCCTTAGCGCTAGGTGCGGAAGGTTGTATAGCAGCCACCCGCAGCCTGTGCATTTTTATTGCTCATGCTCCGCCAAGCTCTAGCTCTGTGGGTTTTCTGGTTAGGGTTCTCTGTTTAGGTATCACGAAGTTTAATCAAGGTTTAATTTATGCTCTTGTTGCTGATGGCCATTCCTCCATGCTTCACAGTCTCATTAAGTGCAAAACAAGGAGAGGTGGCTTTGCCTGTTGCCTAAAATCTGTGTTTGAGGAGGCTGTCCTTGGGTCCAGCCCTGTCTTTCCTGCCTCAATTCCACCCTGAAAGAGTTCCTTTCCAAAATCTTTTGGGGTTATTCAGGGCCAAAAGTCTCATTCTTTGTAACTTCTTCAGGCTGGCAGGCGCTGTCTTCCCTTGTCTGACCCTGGGAATGAAACTTTCCTCCTTTCTGATCAAGGGGTCCCAAGATTTCCATAGAGGCCTCAGCAGTAGGCAGTGGCTGGAGTCCCTGTATGACCATCATGTTTATGTCAAATTGTTGCAACCTGGAGGAAACAAATTTAACAAGCAAGTAAAAAGGCAGGGGCCAGAAATCAGCAAAACTATTAATGCAACCAGAGGTCGAAGGGTACCTTTGGTTATATCCTTTTGACTGCAGTCCATGTGGAGTGGGCACTGGGGTTATCCTTTCCAAAACTGTAACACCTGGCCAGGGGTGTTGATGTAGGTGTAACATGTTTTGTTGATAACTGCACATATCCTTACCTGCTCAGCTAGGAGATAATCCAAGACCAGTCTATTATCCATCACCACATTAGCTAGGGAATTAAGAGATGTTCAGAGTCTAGAGAGTGAGTCCCCTCTGGTCCTGGCCAGGGTAGACAGAGTATCTGACAGGTTATAAAGTGTTGCCTCGTGTTAGGCAAAGCCCCCTCCCCCCTGCCCTGTGGAGCTGCCAAACCAATAGCAGCTCCTTTTTTTTGCCAGGATGAGTCCAGTTGCCGTCTTATTTCAGGAATGGGATTATAAATGGTTATACTGAGGTTCCTCTGATTACTTAGTTGGCCTAGCATGCATTGTCCCACTATCAGGGCATTATCTAGATAAGGAGAGGCCTTAGCCAATCCCAGGGAAGGGAAGGAGGAGCTGGGGTTGTCATCTAAAATATCTGGGGTATTTTGGTCTCTTTTCTTTGGTTCAATGAAACAAATCTGACATGATTCCTTCAGTGAAGGGTTTTGGTATAGCATCATAAAAGCCTGCACGTGAGGATCCTCAGTCTATTTTTCTAGTTTCCTGCAAAATAAATCCAGTTGTGAAATAGTATCATAATTTGAAGAGCCATTTTGGAGCCAGGTTTCCTTGACCCTTGTATTGAGGCCAAAATGTGTTGCAGAAAAAGATGAGTTTCTTGTGTTTTAGCTCATCAACGTTGAATTCCTTCCAATTTTTCAGGATGCATCCTAAGAGGGACTGCTCGGGTATTGAAGGGGCACCTCCTATGGTGTTTATACCTAAAGTGGACAGAAAAGAAAACAGCACAAAAATCAGGGCATCCTGTGATTTTTGCTCTCGGCTTTGGTAACAGCAAGGGCGTCGCCTTCTACCAGTTACCTACTTCCTAGGCCTTGGAGGCGTCCCCTCAGTGACCTTACTAGTCCTTGGATGTCTCCAAGGAGAGAGGGTCTGGGACCCTGCCCATTCGTCCCCGTTGGCCAGGTAGGGGGATTGCCTTTTCTTTTTCTATCCTTCTTTTTGATATAGGGCATGACCAGTAATGTGTCTGCCTGTGGTGCCCAGATGTATCCACTTTTCTTATGAATCTAAGAATCCTTCACAGTGGTGGAATTGCCACCTAGCTCGGGAATCTAAGATTTTAAATAAAACTTCTATATTTAAAGACATTAATGGAAGAGGATTCCTCAGAGAGAGAGAGAGAGAGACGGAGAGAAAGCCTGCCTTGGAAGCTTTGGATATTGCCAGAGTAAGCAGATCTTTCCTAAAAGTGAGACCCAAGGAATTAAACCATGAGTAATTTTTGAAAGATTTACAGTTGCATTAAATTCCTATTCCCCTAATGCAGACACCCAAAGGAGGGAGAGAAAGGTTAGGATGAATAACAATTTTGTGGTGGCAGCAGCAGTGGTGAGCTAAAAACAAACAGTCCTTTTTAAACCCAGCATGGACAGAGCAGAGCCCTTTCCGGTAAAGGTGCTGAATCAAGACAACGCTCAGAAAGGATTACCAGAGCAGCAAGAAGGAACACGAGGAGGATAACAGGTATCCAGATTCACCAAAGCATATTAATTAGTTTATGGGCGGACTGGTGTAACGGGGCAGGAGGAAAATAGTGGCCATAGGTACTTAGCCTTGGATTTATGAAGTTTTTTTTTTTTTTTTTTTTTTTTTTGGGT